TATTTATTTTAAAAGCAATTACTTCCAACTTTTTACAGCTGACTACATGATATAGCTGCTTTGGAAACTAGTAACCAGAAAGTTTGTGTTGCCACAAATATTTTTGTAATTTACCCTCTTTGTGACAAAATATTTCGGCCATGTTTCCACCTTGCGCGCATGATATTTTAAAAATGGCTAATGGTACATACTTGAAATTTGATGGAATTCTTTATATGGGCACTATTTTCTAACTGAAGCAACAATCTGATGAATATTTTAATATTGAAAAATTTTATGGACAAAAACATTACACATTTTTTTAATAAAATACATTTTATAAACTCAACTCAAAATAAAATAAAAATTTAACATGAAAATTTTATAACTTTAAGTTCACAGTACTTTCTAGATGTTATAAAAGCTATATCTTAAATATGGAATTAAATTACAAAGCAGAATATTTTAAACTGTGCGCGGAAGTTGGAAACATGACGAAAAATGTTGTCACAAAGCGGATTAAATTATAAAAATATTTGTGGCAACACAAACTTTCTGATTACTATTTCAGAAAGCAGCTATATTATGTAATCAGCTGCAAAAAGTTGGTAGTAATTGCTTTTAAAATAAATAAGTTATTCCAATTCTTGCAACAGTTACCTATTCGAACATCTTATGGGTTTTAAGGTGTATGAGTCAACTTAAGCTTTCACTCAAAATTCTCCGAGATAATTATTAGGAATTAGTAACTCCGTCTGGTCATTAACAAACAGTTTATTTTGCCAAATATGAAACCTTAATCACCAAGATGAACATATTTTGCTCTCCATTTTTGACCAAAATCTCTTTAAACTCTGAAATCCCAAAGTAATGAACAATTCAATGTAATCTAAATCTGTAAACTTATTCTCTAATATACCTGCGAATTTCATGTGTAGAAGTTTGTACCTTACTGAAGGAAAAACATTTTTTTCCGCAAAAGTTTTGCAGATGGATAAAATTCTTAGAAGAGGTAAATGATAAAAGTCGTAAAATTATAACGTAGCATAATCACACTCTGTTACTTTAAAATAATCACTCCTTTACAAATCCTTCACATTTGCGATTCTGACGCGCATCGTCAACACTGCACATTACTTATTTTCTCCACCTCGTATCAGACTGTAGTTCAAGTCAGCCTTCATTCGCACGCTTTTCATGAAGTGAAATATGCTAAACAGAAAAGTACTGAAGGACAAAATTTTGGAGATTCAAATCGCCTGCTGCAGTTGTCGTTCTCATGGCTACGAGGCAAGTCGGGTGGAGAAAAATATACTTGAAATTCCTATTTTAAAGTAACAGGCAGTACAGTATGCTCATACTTAAAACTAAATACTGGGATGTATAGAAAATGATAATTATTTGATGATGTACTTAAAACGAAAGATTTTTCGAAAAGCATTTCCATTTACTGAAGTGTTGTTCTCCGTGAAGTATTGTAGACATCCAAGGATTCTATAAATATCGGGAAGTTGGAGGAAAATAAGACTTGGCAATGGCTGAAGTGGTAAGGTGGATAAATCAATCTGAAGACTGCTTCACGACTCTTATGTTTAGAGGATAACGAAGCATATTTTTGCCTTATTTTGCTGCAGACTCTTTTGTAGCCACCATAAGAAGAATATCTCCTTCTTATGGCTCTAAAAATGTGTAAACGTAGACTGTTTCTTTGTATTTCATTTATCCCTTCACATGAAAACAAGACTTAGATGCAGCAAAGAGCAATGACAGTCTTGGAAGGAATGAATGGATTAACATGTAGTAAGCCTCCACATCCTCTGTATAATATAATTAATTTTAATGTAGTCTTATAGCCCACCGGTGGGACGTGAGCAGATCTAGAAGTTATACCTGGTCCATGAAGCAATAATGAAGCATTGAAAGTGTATAAAGTTCCTTTATTTTAATTAACTAATTATTTTATTTTTTATCTTTGCTATCACTTCTCCTATCATTTTCCCGCCAGAATGAAAATGTATTTTTCTTGTATTTAAGGTGAAGTTTTTTTGAATGTAAGACAAAACGTGTTCTGCCACTTGAAGGCTCCTTTGCTAAGTTGCTCGATAAGATACGATTTGCAGTCTTCAAACCTTGCATTATAATTTCTAGTAGTTGATAGCCACGCCGGTTAGGTTTTCAGCCAACTTCGCGATAACAGCTTTGCGGTAGCTTTGGCGATTATCATGTTTCGAAATTAAATTTTACTCTTGATTTGCTGTTGCTTTAAATTATCTCGTCTTAACTGGCTGGCTGGAGTTGTAAACCCAAAGTGTGTCTCCTGTTCTTATTTAGTTTGGAGTAAAGGGTCTTTTACACTCTTCTGAACTTGCAGTGCTATTTTAGACTGATCGATAATGTTGTACTTTAGACTGAGCTATAAGTCTATCACGAGTTTGGATAGGTTGGATGATTGCAAAGAATACTAAACTCTATTTATATTTAAAACGCTCCATGACCAGTAATAAATTGGGTTGTAGTGGTTTTTAGAGATTTCATGGCAACATATACTTTTTGAAACATATCACACGTCCTCTGGCCACCTGAGTTTTAAAGTTCTTATCGCATTTCGATTAGTTTCTTATAGTAAGATACTTTACGTATGAATCTGGAAGCCGTGCGTGCTATATTATTTGCAGCTCATCATTTGTTGGGCCCACCAGCGGCCGAGCGGTAAAGTCGCTGAACACTGGTAGTTCGGTCGAGTTTCGAATCCCGCGAACTGGCTGGCTGCATGGGTGTTTTCGTGGTTTTCCCCATGTGTAACGTGTATACGAGCCAGTTTCCCTTAGAATGTCCTCCACGAAGGCATCCCTTCCCTTAGGCATATAGCCCCTCGAGGCTTTGCCATAATTACACACACACACATCATTTGTTGCCTACTTTGCTAGTGTGTTTTCCATCCCATTGGCGAGTTTATCTACCCATACCAAGATAATGCTGATTATAGAGCTAATGATAGCTAATGCTGTGTTCAGGAGAAATGTTTTATACTAATTGGATAATCTCATGTAATTTGCTATAAATTTCTCGCTTATTTAAGCGATTCTCTAATATATAGTATTAGTCTCGCTTAAAAAACGGTGTTTTCTGAATTCAACCTTCTTCTCCATGTATGAGCAATTTGTTGCTCGGATAGATTGCAGAAGCTACTTCCTGTTTCATTTTGTGGACCCCTTTTCCTTTTTCTGTTCCTCTTTTGTGGACACTGGCTCGTCTCTGTGTTTTATAGTAAGAAACAGTTCATTAAAGATACTTCTGGCCTGTAATTGCTGCTCCGCGATATCATCTTATGTGCCCATGTGAAACATAATATCCAATATTCTTCGCATAAATTCCCTAATAGACGAAGTTTGCGGGTAAATAGAGGTTTTTATTAGTGATTGCCTAATGACTCTATCAAATGCTGTTTTCTGAGCTGGATCAAAAGCATTCAAAGTTTCTGAGCAATCAGTCCTTCAGGAAGCTGGTTTAGCTTGCTTCGTGCACTTTTTATACTTGGCCTTTGCATTACTATATATTGTCATATAGTGTTGCTTAGTTTTTGGTTGTTCAGTTGTTTGAGCTTTTCTCCTTAAGGCTCTCACTCTGCAGCGTTCAACACTCAATTACGAAATACACCACAACGTGTTATTTTTCACTGCAATCGTCCTCCGTCTATAGGTTTGTAACAAGCCCATTTTATTACAAGCACCATTTTATCATAAAGGGTGGTTAGTGTGATTCTCTCTATGCAGCTATTAAAAGTAATACTCAACTCCTAAGCATGAAAAGAATACTATTTTCGAGAATGTACTGGCCTCAGTACACCGTATTAAATCTTTGGTTGCTCACCTGTTCCAAAATTGTACTTAATTGATAAGTAATAATCATGTGGTCGCTAAGGGAAGGCCTGTCGCTAACGTGCCAGTTTGGTAGGAATGGTCCAGTATTTACTTTGGTAAGCGTAAGATCTCTCCATACTAACTTCTTTTTTACTTTCTAAGTTCTTGAATGAGCTGAAAGAGGAATTACGATACGTATGATCTTTACTCTTCATACACTATTCGGCAGTTTAATCTAAAGTATAGAGAAAGCAGGCAAAGCCTGTATTCGTACCAATAGAGAACATATTCTGTACTCGATTCACTCAACATATTCTCCACTTGTGTAATTTCATAAATGTTATGTATAAAAGTGGTTTTTTTTTTTTTTTTTTTTTTTTTTTGTAAGGGACTGAGTGGAAATTTTAATTGTTGTATGTTTTCGGGGATTCAAAAGTTTTACTCGATCGGACACCTGTCGGGGGATGGAGACTACCATTCCTGTATTATTGAATGTCAAGTATAGCTATACTTTCTAGTCGATCACTTATGACAGACAAAAACTGTTATCAAATAAGTGTGATTCCAGTAATGGATAAGTGTGACGTTACAATGCAATCTACGATTTTCTCCTTGATTTGACATCTTTGAGAAGGGAATTCAGTGTCAGTAATGAAGGAGATATGTTAATTTCTATTTTTTTATATTCTCCCAATTTGATTTTTTAAAGCGACTTAAAATTTGGGAACGAATTTGTAAAAGAACAAAATGCAGGGGATTATTTTCAAATTTAAGTTAAAGTTTAATAAAAGTTTGCTGCAATGAATACGGTATAGTATTTTCTTTAAAAACTAATAAACATTGGCGAAGAGTTTAATTAGTACTTATTTCAGCTTTTGTTTATTCGTAACATACCTCCTTTGACTAATTAACTAAACAAAAAGCGATCCGAACACTCAAACTTTCGCAGAAATGATGGGCGCAGATTTGGTGGAATTACAGCTAGCTTTCAGTGTCAACAGAAAATTATGTAAATAACCTCTGAAAATTTTTACTGCTTAAGTTAGTTCCAAATCTGCAAGATTCTGATAATGCAAGTAAATTTTCTGTTTACTTCAAAACTTTTTTGAAAGAATAATATGTGATTAAATTATTCTTAAAAAGAAGGTGATGCACATTTACCTTTGACTTGAGAACAGATTCTGGGGGTTGCTCGACTTTTATCACAATTTTCTTGGGAGTTAAATTTTCTTCAATAATCATGTCCCCTAACAGTGTTGTCGAAGGAGAATCCGAGGGCATTGCAAGAACGCTGTTTAAATCTGGTAACGTTACTTCAACTTCAGCTTTCTCTTGATGTCCCTTCTGTAATGAACAACGTAAACTATTAAGCATTTATATTATTAATAATTTTGTAGCTTGTTATTATGATAAGATACTGCAGTTCATATAGACTTGAGAAATAATTAAAGGACTGACAATTTTACAAATCTGAAATTATTTTCTCTAGAATAAGCGAAATATTACTTTATAAGTTAAACTAATGCATTTACATAGACTTTGTTTGTGCTAAAAGAAAAGAATAACCATACAGCTAATTGATTATACCAAGACAAACTGAATAACTTGTCATTATAAAATGGAACTATTTTTGAAGAGATAAAAGTTCAGATATCGGATGAATTAAGCCGTCTTGTAAGATAGATGATATACTAAGAAAAATTATAGAAAAGTCGTTTATAGAGATAGAAAATAGCAGTAGAATGTTTTGGTCTTCCTGCATATTTTTTTAAAAAAAGGGGGGGAAGTCGCAACATATATTCTAATCGAAAATTTTTTTTTGGGGGGGGCTAATAGTAATTCTTGTCTCGTTCTGAACTACATACTTCATATATAAGGTGTAGGTCTACAGGTCGCTGAAAATCTTACTACACAATACACTAAATTAATGCAATACTAAATCTTTATAAACAATAACTATATAATTATTAAAGATTCATTACCCATATTCCTCCTACAAAATGTCGTAATGTATTTGGTTTATGGTTCAATGACTGGGTGCTAATTAAAAATTTAGGATTTCTCTTTAGCTAAAAACATTGCGCAATGGAAAAAATCTCTTCTAAAATTCGGACAGATTTACTTGCTGTTTATTTAATAATGTTTACGTATTAAAAACGACAAATGAAAATTACAAATTTCAAAGCTTCCTCTTTTATGCAACCTACAAAATATCAAAGTATAATTCATAATAAATACTGTGTTTGCATATATACGCGTAAGATGAAAAATATATACACCAAAATTCCAACTATAATTTGATAATAACCCCTTAATTCTCCATTTCAAGTTGGATATGTCTCCTTTCTGTCCTAAAAGCAGTAACTGTTTATAATAAATCTCTTAATCTGTATCATTTCCAAATTAATTCATATCAAATGACTATACTATGACGCACTGATGCAGGCAGTTACATAAACGTTTCGGTGAATTAGAGCTCATTCGGAGCCGAAACCTTTCATTAATATCCAATAAAAAATTCGAAACCATAACTTTTCACTTGAGCTCAACTTTCTTCTGGGATACAATTCTCTTTTTCAGCAATACATAAACATGTCGCTAAGAACGGTCACGCACATTACTTGTGTAATTTAATAATAAGAATGTGCTTCTAAAGAAATGTTTTGTCCAAGAAATATTTTATACCAGCCTAATTGCAGCAGCGTGTTTAGGCTTCTACACGCAGTCATCACCTACAGCATCGGCGATGGCTGAAAATATCTAAATTTTGAGATTTTAAATCACTAGAAACATATACACACTTGCACATATATATATATATAGAGAGAGAGAGAGTTTAATGTCATGTTACATGATGTAATCATGCTGTAATTTGCGAAATTCATACTATCTGCAACATTAACGAATAAAATACTCTAAAATTCATACATCGGTATTAACTGCTGGACTGTAAACTATTAAGAATAACAAGAATTATTAGTTCATATGTATGCAGAGAACTAATCTTTTCCTAGATAGTAAACAATAATGATCAGTTATTATATTTTATAAGTGATAAATATTTCTAAATATTTATTATTTGTATTTCTTCAATTAACTCACTCTCTGAATTTTATTTCTGTCCCAATATTCATTTTTATTCGGTAACTTTCTTATCTCATCGGAGCGAAGAAATAATAAGTTTGAAAAGAAGTTTAAAAAATCTGATGTGTACACCACATGACTTCCTTGTACGGAATATTAAATTATACGCATTTCATTTAAACTTATTAGATTGAATTAAACCTACTTCGCCGACAGCGCATAAACCACAATAGAATAACTGCATTCTTTAAAATTCACTTTGTTTTCCATAGCGACGTTCTGGCGCTAGGTTTACTTAACAGTATTATATTTCGTTCATATTATAATTCATAATGCACAAAATTTATATCATTTAAAGAATTATCTAATCGTTGCCACATGTTCTATTTAAATACTATAATAAAGCTAGAACGATGCATAGAAAATTAAGCAAACAAAACAAAAAAGAAACAGTTTTTCACAGACGATTGAGTATTTCTCATTCAATTAATTCAGTTTTCACTTCGCGACACGGCAAAAATACATAAAAACTCAAAATATCTGTATTAAAAATAACGAAGTAAATCTTAAACGCTGATTTCCTCGAAAAAATTCCTGAAAGTATTAAGCATGATTTAAATGATAAATGAAGGCGTTATCTTTGTTGTTGCGAAGCTAAGTTTCTCTAGATTGGCAACAAATCCGCTATCCTGCTGTTTCAAAAGTAAACAAGAGCAATGACCGCCATCAAAAACATTATTAGGCTTAGCGGCACTTAAACAATTTTAAAATTGTTCATAATTCTAAAAATATTACATACAGATTTACTAAAGGCATAAAAACCTTAACCGGAAGATAAGAACAACATAATTCAATCATTTTTAAAGCAAAAAATGTACAATTTACAAACATATAAGAGTAAAAAAACTGAGATCACTGAGGCGGGGTAACAGAGTGGATATATATATATAAATATATTTATATACGTTAGGTTGCGGCCGATTGCAACCAAAATACGAGGTGCACATCTACATGTTTTATAGCAGTCCTATATACAAAATTTCAATGTTCTGAAGGCTACTCGTTTTTGAGTTATGCGAGATATGTACGTTTATACGCACGTACATTCGTACAGACGCCACGAAAAATTCTCTTCAGAATTAATTTTAAAGCAGTTTCATAATTTTTTTGGAGGAAAAGAGTGTTTTATTCTGTCCTTACATACAGATATCACGGAAATACATCGTTAAATTGCATTTGAAAGAGGTCAAAATGGGATATTTTCGTTGAAATATGCTGCCTGAACCTTTTCGCGATTACAATACTTCCTTTTTACTTCGTACAAGGAAGTAAAAAGAAGACAGAAACTAACTAATCCTCGTTACGACAATGCTGTCTGCTTTATAGGAAATAAAACGGGACAAATTCACTTTTCTCTGGGATAGAGAATGAAGAATGAATACTAATAGAAATGGCCATTCTAAGGCTTTAGGAAATATTACTGCTATATATTTGATACTGAATATCTTAAAATATTTCTACATTTTAATTTTTCTCCCCTCCCACCCATATTGGTTTAATTAATGTTACCCTCCATAGTTTTTGATTTATCGCTTATTAATTAATATTTATTTTGTAACTTGTTTCCCTGCAATTTAGAATTTATTTTTCAGATTTTGACTTAATTTTTTTTTAATTCGGAGTAATAAATAAGCCGAAATTTAATTGCCTTTTTTATTCAGTATACAGTTATGTGCAGATATTCAGAGTTTTATTTAGTTATGTGCATATATTTATTCAAATTCTTAAATAGCTTGAATAGAGCCTGTACTATCATACAGTCTTATAAATGTTACTGCACGTAACCGAAAACCGTCAAAATTAGTAACATTTAGCCAATTCTGCTCGCATTTAAAGACATTTTGGAGTGCCAAAATGAGGATGAACATAACGCCTATTGAAATATATTACAGGAAAATTTCACGAACATTTCCTCATAAGCAGAAATATATAAATATAGATGTGAAGTCAGTTTAGCTCAATTTTAAGTATGCACATCGTAGAGAACTTTCTAAGAAACGTTTTTCAGTATTCACGTAGTACATTTTCGAAAACCATGAAAACGCGCACGTAGTCAGCCCTTTTGCCGGTATTTAAAACCGTTCCGAAATCCAAATATTTATCGATTTTAACCGCTCTGAAATTAATAGAAATTTGGAAAACTCACGAGGTTTGGGTAATAATTTAATATGGCCACAACAGTTGTAGAGACTAGGATTTTTGGAAGCAGGCAAGATGAAAAATGAGCAAACGCCTTTGCCGGGAATAGAACCACGGACCTCTAGAATAGCAGACCAGCGTGCAGAACCACTACATCACAAAGGCAGATAGGAAAGTGGGAGAAATACCTTATCTACTCACCTTTTCAAAAAGGCGACTGGGGTTTTTAGGGGACCCAATCGCCAAATCCTGGGTGTGGAGAATCCTCATCCAACACCCTTTTAGTTCGGGCGTCACTATAGAGACATTAGGATTTTTTGGAAGCAGGCAAGCTGAAAAATGAGCAAACGCCTTTGTCGGGTATCAAACCGCGGACCTCTGGAATACCGGCCCAGCGTGCAGAACCACTACACCACGAAGGCACGCTAGGAAAGCGGGAGAAATACCTTATATACCTCACTTTTCAAAAGGCGACTGGGGCTTTTAGGGGACCCAATTGCCAAATCCTGGGTGTGGAGAATCCTCATCCAGCACCCTTTTAGTTCGGGCACCAATGTAGAGACATTAGGATTTTTTGGAAGCAGGCAAGGTGAAAAATGAGCAAACGCCTTTGCCGGTAATCGAACCACGGACCTCTGGAATACCGGCCCAGCGTGCAGAACCACTACACCACGAAGGCACGCTAGGAAAGCAGCAGAAATACATTATGCAGTGGCAGAGTGGTTAAGATCGCTGAGTGCTGGAAGGTCAATATGATTTAATTTCGGGCAAAACGGTTCATTGAATGGTTAGTTTCGTGGTTTTCTTCTATATGTAATCTGTATACCGAACTTCTTCCTCCCCTTAGGCTTTCCCATCTTAGTATAATAACCCTCTTTTACTTTGCCGTATTCTAATAACCTAACCTAACCTAATCTATTAACTAACTGTAAGCCACGGAGCAGGCTTCCGTCTTAGAAATCCATGCGGAATGATGACTGTTCGGTTCTGTACTAACTGAGGATTTTCCATAAAATAGCCTCTTCCTTTCCTGAAAAGTAACTTTAAAGTGCAGGTGTTAC